TTTTGACAACCCAGTTGGGATGCGCCTTACCTCTTGAGACGGCCTTGAAGTCGTAATAGGCCGTAGTAGCACCTTTAGCATACCTCCGTCCAAACCGCTGATGGCGCGTAGTTAGATGCGCTGTAAAAGATTCCATGCTTCTTCCACCTCTGGTTTCATGCCTTTGGGGACGAGAAGAATGGATATAGGTGGACATATTTGTTTGAGAAATATGATGGAAGTTTATAGCTTATCGAGGTTTAAAAGGGATGGGCGATAGGCTCCTCCTCAGGGGTCGATGTCGCCGGCCATGTCACGTGGTTGGCCTTTCGTTTGTCCGCCTCGCCCACCTGGTGTCAGGCGGCTTGGTTTCGAGACCCTCTTTCTTATGAGTCACTTTTGACCGTGGCTTTCCCCCTTGTCTCATGGCTTAGAATTAGTTCACGACCTAATCATCTTCTTGTTGGAATGACTTCCATCCATTTGCTTTTCTACCCTTTGATGCATTTACTCCTTACGCATAAGAATGGACCAAAACCTGCTCATTGCAACTAAAAGTCGACGGGATCTACATTCCCATCCCCACACCTAGTAGTGGCGACTCGGCGAGCTGATCATTCCTTTCCTCACTCATGCGTGCTCTGCGTGCGCTAGAAGTAGATGATTTTCTAAATGTGGGGACATTCGGACAAGTCAGAGCAATTCATCACTGTCAAACGTTCCTTCAGTACTGTAAACGGGGGTTGTTCCAAGTTCCCCAATGTCGCAGATGCAGTATTATTGAGTGAAAGCGGGTAGAAACATCTCTTAGTTGGATACGAATATTGGTTTAGATAAATGAGCAAAGTGGGACATTCGTCTGTTTCAGGTGCCTGAAATAAGGCACCTACTGTTTCGAAAAGTGGCGAGAGCACCTGAAGTCAAAGTACGTGACTCTGTGCTTCCCTTGGCGTGAGTTGTCAGTACACTTATCTCCGAAAGTTACTTTAGTGGTTAATGCGGTCAACATTATAAGCAGAGGATGCGTTGAGACTACTTGAAACCTTGGAAGACCTTTTCTCTGCAAAGATGATGCCTTGTGGACTGTTTCAACTATGAATTGCAGTTCATTCTATAGTCCCTCCCGTCTTCTTGCATTTGATTGGCTATTACTGCGCCCTAATAATCCGCAACATTGAGAGATTGTTATTCAAAACCCAGCATTAGGTCACCATTAAGCGTGCGTTTTGGCGGGACTTGTTTCCCGTTTAGCTGAAATTGGGTAGATTTCAAGGAAATACATCACCCGTTCTGTAC